CGCGCCCTCGCGCGCAGCCGGAGCCGTGAAACACCCTCCGCTTGTCCCCTAGGGCCGGGAGCCAGCCCGCCTCGCCCAGTCGTGGCCTCTCGAGGTCTGCAGCGAGGAGCCGCGTCCGGAGCCGCTGGACCCCGCCGCCTGCCTGGGCTGGCCAGCCCGCCCCGCGTCCCTGCGCCTGCGCTCGCGTCCCAAGGCCAGATCCGGGTTTCCGCCGCCTCTGCGCTCACCCGTGGGCCTCTGCCTGCGGCTGACCTCGGCCAGCATGGTCCAGCCGCAGACCTCCAAAGCCGAAAGCACGGCCTCGGCAGCTTCTGCAAACGCCCAGATGGATGACGTGATCGACACCCTGACCTCGCTGCGCCTCACTAACTCCGCGCTGAGGCGGGAGGCCTCCACGCTGCGGGCCGAGAAGGCCAACCTCACCAACATGCTGGAGAGCGTGATGGCCGAGCTGACCTTGCTGCGCACCAGGGCTCGCATCCCGGGGGCTCTGCAGATCACCCCGCCCATCTCTGCCATCAGCTCCAACGGGACCCGACCCATGACCACACCTCCAACTTCTCTGCCGGAGCCCTTTTCTGGAGACCCAGGCCAGTTGGCGGGGTTCCTGATGCAGATGGACAGATTCATGATCTTCCAGGCCTCCCGCTTTCCGGGTGAGGCCGAGCGAGTGGCCTTCCTTGTGTCCCGACTGACAGGGGAGGCGGAGAAGTGGGCCATTCCCCACATGCAGCCAGACAGCCCCTTGCGAAACAACTATCAGGGCTTCCTGGCCGAGTTGCGGAGAACCTACAAGTCCCCGCTGAGGCATGCGCGGCGCGCCCAAATCAGGAAGACTTCCGCCTCCAACAGGGCGGTGCGAGAGCGCCAGATGCTGTGCCGACAACTGGCCGCAGCGGGAACCGGGCCCTGCCCTGTGCATCCGGCCTCCAACGGGACCAGTCCAGCGCCAGCCCTGCCCACCCGAGCCCGGAACCTTTAGGGATCCGACACCCCCCTGTAGCATCTGCAGTCACCAGGTAGCAGAGGCTCTATGCTGCGGAGAAGAAATGTGCATACAACCGTATCGCCCCACTTGAAGACATCCCTCCCTGACTCGCCGTCCATTGGAGGTCTTCCTTCCATCCTCCTTGGTGGTCACCCCTGTTGTGCTTCCTGTCATGGGCTAGCTCTGCCTGCTGCCCACTGCATGCTTCCCTCTTGCTTGCAGCCCTCTACTCCAGTGGTCACAACCCTGCTGTCCCCGCACACTGACCCCACAGCGCCCAGGGACTATTTGGGCTAACCCTCCCAGCCCTGCTGTTTGTGGATGCTCCTACTGTACCCCTCTCTCCAGGTGCCCTCTGCAGCTCCCTGCCAGCTGCCCTGCCCTTGGCAGCGAGCTCTGGATGGAAAGAAACAAGTTTGGCCAAGCTGGTGGCCTCTGTGTACCTGGAGAGGGTCTGGCTGCCTGCCCACCACGGATCACCAGCCTTGCCAGGACCAGTATAGCCAGCAGGGCCTTGTTGTTGGCCAAGTGAGCACTCTGCTGGGGGCAGCCCTCGCCATGCAGGTGGACGCAGTTTGGCGTGCCTCATTGCTCCTCGGAGAAGGATGACCCTGCAGCTGAAGGGGAAGCTTCCAGAAGATGCCTTCCAGTGTCTGATGGCACAGGAATGGGGAACCTGCACTTGCCCACTGAGGAAGGCCACAGTAGATCTGGGACCCTGGGCAGTGTCATCAGGCTGCTGTGGCACTGCAGGCAGGCGGAGGGGGCACACTGGTGACTCTGCTTGCTGTCCTGGGTCTCCAGGGGGGCGCTCACAAGCTGCTGGTGTTCAGTCACCCCCTCTCCCCTCGTCACTTCATGGTGGGCCTTGCCTCGGTTGAAGCCCACTCCCTTCTCCACTCAGGTGCCACATGGCCTTCACCTCGGCCTTTCAGCCATCCACGCCATCTCCAGGTCTCCAGAGATGCCACGTGGCGTGCCCTCCCCACGTCTGGGCCATTTGTCCAAGAACAGATAGACCCCTCTTAACGAGACCCCGCTCCTCTGGGAAGCATCATTAAGCACTAAGACCTGGTGTCCTGCCCCTGGTCACCCAGCTGGGGTCTGGGTGGCATGGTAAAGGTGAAGAGCTGCGGACTGCCTTGGCCTGATCGGTGACGATGCAGGACATGGCGTGCATGTCCTGATGGGGAGGGACAAAACGGCCCTGGCTCTGGGTGGAGAGCCTTGGTCTCCTCTCTGAGGTACAACCAAGAAATCACACCCTCAGGGAGGCTGGTCAGGCCCTTCAGACTGTGGTGCTCCTCCCGCATTTCAGTGCCAAGCCCGCTGCGTTTACAGGACACCCGACCACGGCGGGGCGTGGGGCACCTTCCTCTGCGTTAACCTGCTACGTGAGTGGTCCTGGCCTGACCACAGGAGGACCACATCTGCACACACCCCCGACGCCTCTGTCTTGGGGTCCATCCCCTCTTCTGGAGAGTTTTGATGATGCTGGGAAAAGTGACCATGATTCCAAGCAGCCACTGCCGTGTAAGGCCAGGGTCTGCAGGCTGCTGGGGCCCACAGGCAGGCCGCCGCTCGTGATGGGCTCTGTTAGCCCCGCTGCCCTGCTCAATAGCTGCCGGATGCAGGCTTCCGGCTCCCCTGGGGCAGCCCAGACTGCCCAGCGGGACCATGGTGCTCAGAGTGAGGCAGGACCCCAGCACTCCAGGGCCTGCCCGTGCACAGCTTCCCAACGCTGTCTCCACGCACAGCGCCCTCCCTCTCTAGCAGCTGTCTGGGTGAGAATGGCGCCTGCCAGGTAGAGGTGTCTCTAGGTGGCGGGTACAGTGGCATCTGGGGAGTAGGGGCCTGTAGGGGGACAAGACACCTGGAAGGCTTCTTCAGGCCCAGCCCAGCCAGGGAGGAGACCAGACGTGGAAACACGTGTGTCGTGTCACAGCCCTGGCTCTGCCTGGTGGCTCTGTGAGAGGGACCATCTGCGTTAGGTGTGGAGATTCAGAGTTGGGCTCTGCACACTCAGGACCAGAGCCCTGCAGGCCAGGCTGGCCGCCTCCCTGTCCATGGCCGCTGCAGGGCCCTTGTTTCCTGGGCTGGCGGCCTGCGGCTTGCTGCTGCTCTGGGTGCATTTGGTGACTTGGTGGTGTCCTTCTCTTGGTGCTTATGTTGGGGGGGGCTGCCATTGTGTATCCTTGGCCCTCTCGATAGCTCCCTGCACCTCGGAACCTGGAGCAGATGAGAGAGGGCCCAGGCTCCCCTCTGCCCTGGGCTTGGAAGAAGCCCACACTGACAGTGCTGAGGGGCCTGCTGAGGCTCTAGTGTAGGACATCTTAGTCCCTAGCCCAAAAGGCTGAGACCCAAGCCCCATGCAGCCCCTGAAGGAGACCATAGTGATGGGCAGGTGTGGCTCTGAGGACGGTGGGGAGGGAGGTGCTTTGTACAGTACATACTTTGGGATTATTTCTCTTAATTTTAAGAAAACAAGTAACAATTTACAAAACGGGGTCAGGAGTAGAGTCGACAGTGCATGTGAGGGAGTTCTGTTTCTCGTGTTGTTGACACTTGGGGACATGTTGTGGCTGCTGTCTGGGCTGGTGTTGCCCATCTGGAGAGTCGGCTTCGCTGCGTTCCAGGCACGGAGGTGAGGTTTGCTACACGGCGGCTCCTGGCCAGGGTGTAGTGTGACCTTGGGATTCACTTTGTGTCCTGAAGCGTTTTGGTGACTTCTAGGAGCCAGCCTTGGCCCCAAGCGAGTATCCGTTGAGGTGTGGAGAAGCCATGTGACGGTGTGGCAGGCCCACCGACAGGAGCCCGTGCCGGGGAGAACAGCCCACTGCGTGAGTGTGACCTGGGCACTCGGCCTGCAGGAGAGGAGGGGCTGCAGGGACACAGGCCAGGCTGGGTCAGCTCAGGGAGTGTCCCGAGGCTGGACAGAAGGGGTACACTGGGGCAGGATGCTGGGTGACGGGGAGATTCTCACAGAGGTCCCCTTGAGGTCCTGTCTTATGGCCTGAGCCATGACCCTTGTCCTCTTCTTGGGAAGCAGTTGCTTAGGGGCTTGGAGAGAAGGTGGGAGATGGCTGCTGGGCCAGCAGGACCGCGTCCTCCTGTGGTCAGGGCAGGGTGACCCTAGTCTGTGGCAAGTGTGCTTGGAACTGAGAGCTCTGGGGCAGCTTGGCAGCATCTCGTGGGAGTTAGGGGCAGTGTCTCGTCTCTCAGGGTCCCTGTAGGAAGTGGCGGGGCTGGCCCTGCACAGGAATGTTAGTGCTCCGCAGTGTCACTAACTTGGCAAGCCAGGGACACCGTGACCATGTCCTCCGTTCTCTGAGCAGACCTGCACAGGAAGGAGATTTTGGAGTCAGGTGGAGGGAGACGTACAGGGTGACACCTGGTGTCCCTCCAGCCTACCCCCACTGCCCTGCGTAGTTTCTTTGTGTTTTCTTCCTTGTGACATCATTCCACGTGGCTGTTGTCACCAACACGTCCCGGGCGTTTCCCGTTGCTGATCATCACATGTGAAGTGGCTGTGGAAGGACAGCAGAGCTGTCAGGAGCTGATGGAGCTCTGCACAGGTGTCTCCAGGTGGGCCACTTCCCCGTGACAGCCTGGGGTGGGGGCTGGATAGAGGAGATGGAGACCTTCGAGGTGTTCATGACCCAGCAAGGGTCGGGCCGTTGTGCCGGTATTGGGTATTGTCATCAGGCTGAATATTTGCTAATTTGATAATGAAAATAATGGGCTTCTGTTTGAGTTTCGTCTCTTTGGTTTCCAGCTCAGCTGAACCTCTGTTCACGCCACGCAGCTGTGTCTCCCCCCTTGTGGGTTGTCAGTGTCCTTTGCCCGCCCTACGGGGTCTGAATGTTTGTATGAGTTCATTATCTATTAAAGACACTAACCCGGTGTGTGCTCTTGGCTCAGTTATTCCAGGTTTTGCTGGAGTCTGGACACAGCCTGCACCCCCCTCAGTGCCGCCCACCAGACTGCAGCATGAGGCCACAGGGACTTTGTGTCTGCCTGTAACACGGGGCCAGCAGGTGCAGGAGTGGACGGCTGGGTCTTGGGGTCCCCAGACAAGCCCCGGGCGGCCCTCACACTCTGGTCTCTGCCAGAGATCACTGAGGACCCCAAAGAGCATTTTCTCACATAGGTTTTTTCCTACCAACACTTACCCCATTATCAATTAAAACAAAGTTTAAAAATGTTATTTAAAAGCTAAGATGGAACTCATGGTATGTCAACATAAATATCAGTGTCAGTGAAAACCATTTTCCAAACAAAAGCCCAGTGGGAAGGGCGGCGTTGTTGTGCAGCTCTGCAGAGTCCCTCACTGTGGCTCGTGGGAGACGCTGGGGTCTCGGACCTGCTTCTGAACTTGGCCTTGGACCTCTGAAAAATCCCACTGAAGGTCCGAGCCTCAGTTGGCCTCAGAGACCCCCGGAAGGCCCCACTTTGAGAACCACTGGGTGTGAAGGGACAGGAGGAGACAGTCCTGCCACTTCCATGTGTCCCTTGTGTGACTTCTTTCATTGCTGTAAACTTCAGGTCCTTTCCCCTCCTAACCCTCGGCTCCATGGGGGTGGATTTGGCGTGGGGCGTGGAGCAGGCCCTGACAGTCTGTCAGAGACCCAGGGCTGTCCTGGGACATGCCCGGGTGGTAGTCTCACTTACCACGGCCACAACCCCTTCACCCCCTCGGGGTCCTGCATCCTGCCCCTCACCCACTCTTCAGACCTAGGGGCCTGTCCCGCTCTTAGCCATTTCACCAGATGATTAAAGTGATTCTGAGGTCCGACACCAGCAGGGTGTGGAAGGCACCCACCAGGGGCCCCTTCGCCAGCCAGCAGCAGGCGTGGCTGGGGGCTCCACGCTGATCCTGTGCCTGCTGGCTGGCCTGCTGCGGCCTCTGTCCTCGGCCACGCTCAGGTGAGTACTTGGAGCCCAGCTGATGTCCCCAGATGGCTGGTCCCAAGAGATTTACAAGCACCTGGCCCTGCCCTGCCCTGCCCTGGCCTGACAGTGCAGAGCCGAGGGGCCAACCGGCCCAGTCTGGGGCTGGAGACTAGGGCCTCTGCCTCAGGGACTGCGACTCTTGCTCCTCTGGGCTCGCGTCCATCCTAAGTGACCCCTGTACTAAGCGATCACCAGCAGTGTGCACAGGTGTCCCCATTTTGTAAGAGAAGAGACCAGGACACAATGGGCGTGGGGCTTGGTGGCAGAGGGCTGCCCCAGGCGCAGGGTGGCTGGGCCACGCCCTGAGCAGCTGCTCTGCCAGGCTCGGGTGGGCGCTGGGGACACAGCAGCCAGAGCCTGGAGACTCCATCTCTAGCCATGCCGTCCCCTCCCAGCAACCAGGTGTCACCTGGCCTTTCCTTCATCCCAGGCCTGGCCTGTTACCAGGCGACTGGCTTCTCCACAGTTCTCAGACCACCGCGCCCCGCTCAGGCCTGATGGGCGGTCTTGCTGCCACCTCGCCCTCATCCACCACCAACACCAGGACCAGGTCGGGGGCTGCTGCGGGGCCCATCTGTGCGCCCACCCCCCCCCACCAGGTCACTCCTACTGATGTTGTCACCTGCCCTTGTCGCTGACCTTGCATTCCCCTCCCCACCACTGTGCTCCTGGAGGGAGGCTGTTCGCCTGCCGTGTCCCCAGCGCCCACCCCGGGCCTGGCAGAGCAGCTGCTCAGGGCGTGGCCCACCACCCGGCACCCAGGGCAGCCCCCTGCCACCAAGTCCCACGGCCATTGTGTCCTGGTCTCTTCTATCTTACAAAACGGGGTCACCTGTGCACACTGCTTGGGGTCACTCAGGACCCACGGAGCCCGTGAACACCATGACCTGGCCGCTGGGAAGGTGACTCACAGCCGGTGGGGTTCCACCTTGGACTTGCTGCACTGACCCCGAGGCCCGTGTCCTCCAGATCTGGCTAGTTCACAGCCTTCATCTCGTGAGTGACGCTGGGTGGACATCCCAGCCCTGCAGGCCCCCAGGAAGGGGGCGTCTGCCGGCACGGTCAGCGGTTCCCTTCTCACCCCTCGTGAACCGCCCGGCGGACAGGTGGTGAGCGTCCCCGTGTGTGGCCACCTGGCAGGGCTCACAGCGGGGGCCCGTTCCTCAGAGGATCCCACAGACGTCACGTCTGCAGCAGAAGTGCCCGTTGGCCACTGGAGACCGGAGGCCCTTGTTCTCATGGTACGTTAGAGGTTCTGATTCATTGCTATTTATTAATGTCACCATTTGTGATAGACTGAAAGTGTCCCCCACATTCATGTGTAGGTCCCCACCCCTGCTGTAATGCGCCAGGGAGTGGGTGGTGATCAGTCCGTGAGGGGGCCTTAAGAACCTGTGGACCCCAAATTGCAGCCAGGGCCACGGCTGAGAACGAAATGCAGGAGCCAGCCGTGTCTGCACTTGGACAGCAGCCACCGGCCACCTGAGCCCTGCGTGGCCACCTGAGCCCTGCGTGGCCACCTGTGCCCTGCGTGGCCACCTATTCTGGACGACATTGGGGATGGAGTAGTGAAGGGGGCAGATGCACACATGGAGGGGCCTGAGGGAGGGCTGTCGGCTGGCTAGGACACCCACTCTCGGTGTCCCCGAGCGAGACACAGGCCCCAGGCCGGAGCTCTTACCAGGGGGAGCCTTGGCGGAAGCCCAGGGGGCCACCCGGAGGCCTGGTGGGCGCTGGTTTCTCCTCATGGAAGTAGCTGGGGAGGAGCCGGCTTGAGGACCCTGTGTAGTCAAAGGCACTTCTGGGAAGGGGACAAGGGCAGGTTGGTCCTTCTGGGTGTCTAATTGGCCAGGGGACCCTCTCCCTGCCTGTCCCATGAGCAGGAGTCAAGGGGTCGGGGAGGCCAATTACCCAGTCAAGGGCCGCAGCTGGAGCCGCTGTCTGCAGTTCCCAGATGCATGGAAGTGAGGCCCCGAGCTGCGGCTGCGGGGAGGCAGTGGGACTGAGGCCACAGCGCTGCAGGACCCAGGACCTACGAGAAAGCATGTGCTGTGACCCCCACCAGCTGCAGGGCCACCAGGAAGGTGGCTGGGCAGAGGGGGCCAGGGCTTGCCGGCCTGGGAGGGCCTGAGGTGGCAGTGGGGATGGGGGAGAGCCCTTGTTCTAGCTGAACTGCCTGACACCTGGGCAAACAGGGCCTGGTCAGAGGGGCTCCCTGCCCCCCAGCTTCTCCAGGGCCAGGAGAGCTCTGGCCGCAGCCCTGACTGTGTTCCAGCTGACTGCGCTTCAGAAATCAGCAGGGATCGGCTTAAACACCACGAGGCCATCCTGCAGACAAACTGACGGAAACCTTGGACTCTGACAGCAGTGTCAGCAAGGGACTCCTACCTGGCAGGACGGGGACTTGGGGACTCGGCTACTTAAATTGTCTAATGCAAAAACCAGGGCCAAGCTCCCTGGCAGCTTCGCGGCCGAAGAGAGGAGAGGTGCCTGGTCTGCGGATGCCGGGAGCCGTCGGGCCGGGAGCAGCCGCCTGGGCATGCAGCTCCCAGGGCCTGTGGGCGCCCTGGGGACCCGCACCACCGGGGCCAGGCACCTGCGGGCCTGAGGGCGGCGGACCTTCCCCTGGGGCAGGGACAGCAGCACACAGCAACAGGGGGAGGACCAGAGGGCAGGAGGGGACAGCGTTCCAGATGTGGGGTGGGGAAGCCCTTCCTGGAGCCTGGATCTGGGCCAGGCCAGCAGGGTCCTGAGAGGAAGAGCACCACACCCGCGGTCAGCCTGCAGGCCAGGCGGGTCTTAGCCAAGAGAACCGTGTTTCAGTTTGGGCATGTAGTGAATATACAATTTTATATATTTGATAAAAGTGGCTGAATGCAGCCGGGCACGTGGCACTCACCTGTGATCCCAGGTGCTCGGGAGGCTGCGGTGGGAGGTGGGAGGATGGAAAGTTCACAGCCAGCCTCAACAACTTGGTGAGACCCTGTCTCAATAAAAAGGAAAAGAAAGGGCTGGGGATGTGGCTCAGTGGTTAAGCACCTTGGGTTCAGTCCACACACACACACACACACACACACGCACACACACACACACACACACGCACAGCTATGTAACACATTTTACTAGGCTATTAAAAAAGCTTTGTGATGATTTTATAGAATTTTGTTACATGAAGGTGTTTTAACTTTTTTTTTCCTGCTGTGACCAAAAGACATGACAAGAACAATTTGTGGAGGAGAAGTTTCCTGGGGGTCTTGGTTTCAGAGGTCTCAGTCCCCAGGGGCCGGCACTGCTGCCCTGGTCTGATGTAGGCAGGACAGCATTTCAGAAGGGCCTGGAGAGGAACACAGCGCAGGGGGTGGCCGCCAGGAAGCAGGGAGCTCTGCCTTCCAGGGACACACCCCCAGTGACCCACCTCCTCCAGCCACACCCTGCCTGCCCACAGTGACCACCCACAGTGACCACCCCCAGTGACCCACCTCCTCCAGCCACACCCTGCCTGCCCACAGTGACCACCCGGTTAATCCCTATCAGTGGATTAATCCACTAATTAGGCCCCACCTCACCTAACCCAATCCCTTCCCCTCTGAAAGTTCTTGCATTGTCTTATACCCGAGCGTTTGGGGAGACTCACTTCTAAGCCCTAACAGGTGTGTACTCCCATTGCTGTTCCTCCCTGGTTGGCCATCCGTCTATCCACCTATCTACCTACCTATCTTCATTTTCTAAAACTCCAGGTGTGACTTACATACTGTGACACACTGGGAGCTTATGGGTAGCTCTATGCTGTGGCACATGTGGGCACGGAGTAAGCACCACCAAACGTGGACACGGATATCTCCGTCACCCAGAGTCCCCTGTGCCTCCTGCTCATCATCTCCCCCCCCGCCAGGCGTTTCGGCAGTTCTAGACTCCAACTCGGAGCAGGAGCCAGGCGGAGGCGTCTGGGC